GTCATCTAGCAGTCACTTCTACTAATAGGGACACTACCGAACATATAAGTTCAAAAACACTTGCTCACACAATCAGCACCTCAGTGCTTAAGCTATAGGAAAAAATTCGCCCTCAAGTCCTCCAGTCTGGCCCAACATCAACTCACAGAGATCACATCTCGCCCCTCGATCAAGGAATCACAAGCCCTCGATACACATCTAATACTGAGCGCTCATGCACGCATACGAACGCGTGGAAGGAATTCAAAGAGTTACATTTCAAGTTGAATCAAGGACGCACGATAAGATTTCAAGAATGTAATTTTTTCTTAAAGGTTCTGCAGCCTCTCGAGGATAAATACAGACGTCTCTGTACTGATCCGCGAGACTCTATTAAACCTGCTTATGACTCGTGAGACCTATGTAACCTAGGCTCTGATACCAACTTGTCACGACCCCAAACCGGACCCGGTCATGATGGCGCCCCTCGTGAAGCCAAGGCCAGTCGACACAATTTCCAATTTAGTTTTTAACAGTTAAATAAGTCAATTTAAGTAATTTATAAGGATAAATCCCCAACAAGTATAGATTTAGCGGAGTAAATCAAGTGCAAAAAAGAATACAGCCCGACATCGGGGTGTCACAAGTCACAAGCATCTACTAGGGTTTAACTACAACTGAAAAGTCTAAAATGTACTGAATACAGACAATGAACTAAAGAGGGAGAAAATCAGTGCTGCGAACGCCGACAGTTACCTTGCTAAACTCTGATGACTCTACCTCTGATCAACCAATACCCGTTACCGGATTCAAAAATACCTGAATCTGCACATAAGGTGCAGGGAGTAAAGTGAGTACTCTGACTCAGTGAGTAATAATCATAACTAAAGACTGAGGGATAAGAAATCACGAAAAGTGCATCAACATTCTGTATAGAAGTAGTACAAAACCAGTAAGAAAGCAATGAAGTAGTGAAATCTCTTAAAACATCTTAGCATAGTTTAAACTTCTTTAAAATGACTTTTCAACGGTTATGCAAATGAATGCAAAGCAATTAGTGCAGATAAGCACAGAAAATTCGCCCCTCGGGCACAAACACACAATTAAACAGGTAAATGATAGGCAAATAAGAAAGATAAACATATAAGGTTCTCCCCTGGGGCAATCACATAGAACACTACCAACCCCTCGGGCTATATCTCACATCACAATGGGTACCCGCGCTCACTGGGGGTGTACAGACTCCTAGAGGGGCCCCTTACGGCCCAAGTGCAATATCAAGCCATCTCGTGGTATCATCTCGTGGCTCTCGGCCTCATATCAACAAGCCACCTCGTGGCGTACATATCTTAGGCCCTCGGCCTCATAATCAAAATGAGTGTATCACCATTGCGGCGTGAAACCCAACCCATAAGTATCCTCACAACACAGGCCCTCGGTCTTACTCAGTCAAAAATCACATAAGCCACTCGGGCAACAGTAAAATATGATGCTCAGCCCAAAATATTATTTGAAATATCATTTCAAGTGTTAAAACAAAGTAAACATGGCTGAGTTTTGAAAACAATGGAAAATAACATGGCTGAGTTCGAGTAAAAAGTCAAAACAGTAAGGAAATATCCACAAAAATCCCCGAAGGGTTCAAATAATTGGCATGAAGCCCCAAATATGGCATTCAACCCAAATAATGATGATAGCAAATAGATTTCAGTCAAATACGCGGTAAAATTATCAATCGGGACGGACCAAGTCATAATCCCCAATAGTGTGCGACCCCATGCTCGTCATCAAGCGTGTGCCTCACCTCAATATAGCACTACGATGTGCAATCCAGGGTTTCAACCCTCAGAACATCATTTACAATTATTACTCACCTCGAACCGATCAAATCTCTAGCTCGCGAAGCCTTTGCCCCTCGAATCACCCTCCACTCGCGTCGAATCTCTCCAAAATCAGAATGTGGACGTCAAAATATGCTAAGGAAATGAAGCCCAAGCGAAAACAATCAAAATGTGACACAAATCCCGAAATTGCCAAAACCCGACCCCCGGTCCCACGTCTCGGAATTCGAAAATTTTCACATCAATGGGTTCCTTATCTCATCACAAGTTCATACATATCAAAAACATCAAAATCCATCCACAAATGACGCTTCAAATCCCAAATGTTTGGTCTCCAATTTCAAGCCCTAGTTTCTCAATTTTCACCCTTAATTTCCATAATTTCTAGCTCTAATCCATGAAATAATAGCATAGGAATGAGTTTTAGGTCCAAATTCCTCACCTCAATGACGTTCTCTTTAAATCCCACTCTCAAATCGTCCAAAAAGCTCCCAAGCCAAAGTCAAAAATGGTAAAATAAGCTAAATTTGTGAAGGAGACAATTTATACCTTCTGTCCAGACCTTTTCGCATCTGCGGTGCCATACCCGCTTCTGTGGCACCACAGATGCAGTCCTTCCTCCGCTTCTGCGGAAATCACTTAACTGGCCAACAATCGCACCTGCGACCACATCCTCGCATCTGCGACATCGCAGATGCGACCACTCTAACCACTTCTGCAGTCTCTGCCCAACAGGCTCCTTTTCGCTTCTGCAACTAGTCAACCGCACATGCGGCGCCGCACCTGCGGTCCCATATCCGCAGGTGCGAAAATATCAGAAGCATCAATTTCAATAGCTGCAACAAAAATCCAACTTCTCCGTTAACCATCCGAAATCACCCCGAGGCCCCCTGGACCTCAACCAAAAGCACAAACATATCCTAATACCTTATTCAAACTTGTTCCAATCATCAAAACACCTCAAACAACATCAAATCACCGAAAGCACATCGGATTCAAGCCAAACTTTTCAAAATCTTCCAATTTCCTCTTTTGATAAAACACCCAACCAAACCACGTCTGAATGACCTGAAATTTTTCACACATTTCCCAAATGACAAAACGGAACTACTGCAACTTTTGGAATTCCATTCCGACCTCTATATCAAATTCTCACCTATCAACCGGAAAATGCCGAAATCTCAATTTCGCCAATTCAAGCCTAAACCTTCCACGGACTTCTAAAATGCATTCCGATCACACTCCTAAGTCCCAAATCACTCAACGGAGCTAACCAAATCATAAAAAATCCGATCCGAGATCATATACAAACAAGTCAACTATTGGTCAAACCTTTCAAATTTCAAGCTTCAAACTGATAACTGTTCTTCCACATTCATTCTGATTACCCTGAAAACAAAAACCAATGATTTACATAAGTCATAATACATCACACGGGGCAAGTTATACCCGAGAACTGGCGAGCAAAGTGCAAAAGCTCAAAACGACCGGTCGGGTCGTTACAAGTACAAATGTGCAATCAATTACATTATACTCATTCCTTTTTTGTGTAATTTGAAATAGTTGTCGTATTCCAGACTAGACGTTTTAAAAATATGTTTTAATTTTTGAAAAATTAGTTTTTTATTTATTATTTATTTTTTATAATGCTATGTTGATGCAAAGTATGGATGTTTTGGACTGCCATGTATAGTTCTATTGGACGACTAGATGTAATGTTGTCTGCGCTGAGGCAAAAAACGCTATTTATTTTATAATTCCTGTATATATATATATATATATATATATATATATACTAGTATCTGGGTACGTGCGTTGCACGTGTATCCCATATCAATATTCGCATAATGTATATTTATAGTAATAAATTTATGTATAAATATTCTAAAAATTCGATTGAGCTATAAATTTGAAATTAAATTAAACAAATATTAGCATTAATACATATCCTTAATACTGGTAAAGTTGCTGCCATGTGACAAGCGTTCAAGCCGTGGAAACAACCTCTTGTAGAAATGCAGGCTAACACTACATACAATAGACCTTTGTGGTTCTGCCTTTCCCCCAACCTTGCGCATAGCGGAAGCTTAGTGCGTCGGGATGCCTTTTTTTTACATATCCTTAATACGACCTCTGATAAATTTTTCAATCGTTATCCTATCAATTAAAAAAAATTCCGCTGTTAACCTTTGTACATGAGACCATGAACAACTACACTTTTAGCAATTTCAATTCATTTTTTATTTCAAAATCTACTACCTTATCAAAACCAGAGAATATAGTATCGCTAATCATAAGTGTAAATTAAATTTCACAGGGATAGGAAATAAAAGAATAAGTTTAAAAAATAAAAACCGATTTTATCTTCTTGCATATAACCACTCGATTTGTCTACTCTATAATGTTGCAAAAGTAAAATCATCAAATTGATAGTTTTATGCATTCTTTGTCAATAGTAACAAATTTATGGTTACATTTATGCTCTTTATTGACATCCAAAAAAAATATAATAGTAGTAGTATGACAAAAGCTAAATACACATTGGACAACACAAATGAAAAAAAAGCTCAAATTATATTGCACACCATTAAAATTTCCTAATTAGATTTGTCCTAATTCCTCTACAACTCTTCATGCTAATACCTTATAGAAATTAACTTGTTTGGATAAAAGGCATAAAAAATCATCAACACTATTGTTTTTTTCATCTATATATGGGAATTTCATCTCTAATTTTTTACCTATGAGCAATGGAGAGAGAAGAGAGAAAGTGGTAATTCTCGAATCCAAACTTCTGTCATGTGAGAATTTGAGGAATTGCAATGCATATCTCAATATAGACCAAATTCATTCGATATATTAATGCAAAATCAGATTATTGATCTGAAATGTTGCAAATTATTATATCTGATGATGCTCATTCAACATAGACCAAGTCCAGCACAATAGTGATAGAGTTGGTTCACTACTTCTGCTATTACATGTATTTCTTCAACTGCATGACTTGCCATCTGATCATTGTTTGAATCATTGAGTGGCATATCAGCTTAGCACAGAAGCCACTTCTTTTTATGGGCTCAAGTAACTTTTTACTACTCCATATCCATCTTTCATAGAAATATGTGGAAATATTAATTGATATATATATATATATATATATATNGCTGCCATTGTTGAGATATTTCAGGTTTAGTGGGTTTTTTTTTGTGAAACAGAAAGATTTTATTCACAAATAAACAACTCTTTACAATATTCCCCTCATTCTCCCGTATCCTCCTCTATCTTTCTATATCTTTCCTATACTTCCCTTCCCTGTATTTTCAACATTTCCTATACAATTGATCTATCCAATCTCTCTCCTTTCTACTACATTTTTTGTTTAACATAGGTACTATTCTAGCCTTACATTCTTGCTGTATTTGTGCACATATACTTCTTGGTGTAGGTACCCATTGATTCCATAACACTTCATTCCTAGCCCACCATATCTTGTATATTAGTGATGCAATCACTGCTGTGGCAAACTCTCTACATTTCTTCCCCTGTATTCCCCGAGGTATTCTTCTCCATATACCCTTTAGGTCATATTTTATTATTCCTTTCTGCATCCATATCAACAGTCTTTTTAGGCACTCCTCTGAAAGTTTGCACTCAAATAATAGGTGCTCCACTGTTTCCCTTTGGCTTCCACATATCATACAATCACTATCTTGACTTATCTTCAACTTTAGCAATCGATCCTTAGTCAATAGCTTCCTATGCATGGCAAGCCAGCTAGTAAAGCTATGTTTTGGTACATTCATCCGACCCCATACCCCTTGATACCATGATTTTTCCTCTTCCTCTCCTTTCTACCAATGGTATCCACTCTTTACAGTGTACTTTCCTCCCTGTTTTAGCCATCCATTATTCACAAAATCAGCTGCAAATTTATCTCTGCTTGCACAGATTTTCTTCCAATACCAGCAACTGTCAATTGGTCGTTCATACTGCCATCAATCCTGATCTTTTATATATACATGATTAACCCATTTCACCCCAGGGTTATCCTCTTTGTTTGCTATATTCCAAACATATTTCACCATTGCTGCTTCATTCCATGTTGTACAATCCTTTATCCCCAATCCACCTTATTGTTTAGGCTTATACACTGTGTCACATGCTACCAGCGTCATTTTGGTTGAGTTTCCTTTTCCATCCCATAGGAAGCTTCTGCAAATACCTATTATACTTTTTAAGACCTTTTTGGGGATTATAAAGATTGAGGCCCAATATGAGTATATGTGCATCAATACTGAGTTCACTAACATCACCCTTCCAGTATATGAAATATTCCTTGAACTCCAAGTTCGAACTTGGTAGCCATCTTCTCTACTAGCATTTCACAATCTGTTGTTGAGAGCTTCTTAGCAGATATTGGTACTCCCAAGTACCTAAATGGTAAAGCTCCTCTTTGGTATCATCTGAGCTCATATATGTCCTGAATGCATTGTTCCTCCATTTTTGCACTGTAAATGTTTGACTTAGCTGCACTGGTATGTAAACCTGATGCTCTTAAGAATATTTCCAGCCCCCTTAGGATCATTTCCACTGATTGCCATTCCCCTTTGCAGAAGAATAATACATCATCTGCAAAACATAAGTGGTTTAGCTTGAGCCCTCTACATTTAGTATGAAATTGGAACCCTTTTTGTTCAGAAATCCATTTCATTATTCTTGAGAGATATTCCATGCAAATGACAAATAGTAGGGGTGATATTGGGTCCCCTTGCCTTAGTCCTCGTTTGCCCATAATGTTCCCATATAGTCCATCATTCACTGCTATTGTATACTGGGTAGATGTGATGCAAGCCATCACCCATTTTATGAACTTTTGAGGAAAGTTAAGAGAATGCAATATTTCTTCCACAAACCCCCACTCCACAGTATCATATGTCTTCCTTAGGTCTTCTTTGATTAGACAACTTTTAGTTGTATTCTTCCTCTTGTACAGCCTCATCTTGGCAAATCAGAATATTATGCACTATGTTCCTGCCTTCCACAAAAGCACTTTGATTAGGAGATATTACCCCTGGTAATACCTTTTTGAGCCTATTACAAAGCATCTTCGAAATCACTTTATAAATTGTGTTGTAGCAGGCAATAGGTCTATAATCACCAACTGCCTCAGCATGAAAGCCCTTGGGGATAAGGGTTATCACAGTGTTATTGACAATTTTGAGCATCTTGCCTTCTCTAAAGAACTCCAGTACTCCCTTCTTTACATCTGTACCCACAACATCTCAGCAGTCCTTATAGAATTGGCTTCCAAATCCATCCGGACCTGGTGCTTTATCCCCAGCAATTGCCCATAGAGCCTCATTCACCTCTGTGTCTATGAAGTCTGCTTCTAGTTCATTCCTTTGCTCCTTTGCACTATTGGTCCTTGTCTTATGATCTAGCTATTTACATGATCTCTTTCCACCATTCTCTTTCCCATCATTTCTGTGTAGATTTTTATGAATGCATCTGGAATCTTTGCTGGATCATCAATGTCATCCCCTTTCATGTTTTTGATGTGGAAAATTTTGTTGCAGTTCCTCCTAGCTTTCAGTAGGCCATGGAAGTATTTAGTATTCTGGTCACCCTGATTGAGCCATTGTGTCTTAGCCTTTTATTGTAAGAACATGTTCCTTGCCTTTTCCCACCTACTACATACCTCATTTAATCTTACTTCCTCATTGATCAAAGCTTCATTCCGGGGGCCCTGCTATACCTTACTTTGACATAGCTACAGACTATTTATTGCTTCCTCTGCTCTTTTTTCAATGTTACTGAATCTCTCCTTGTTAATCTTCTTCAAAGTTCCCTTGATTCTGTGTAGTTTTCCCACCAGTTGGTATATCTGTGTGCCCCTTCTATCTGTTTTCCAGTTCTCTTTTATTCTTTCTTTAAAATCACATGCCATGCTCCATATATTGAAGTATTTGAAACTCCTTTTTATCTACTGCCCCCCTCTCTCCCAGTTTATTATGCTTGGGGAGCGATCAAAGAGCCCTGGTTGCATGTAATGGACTTCTGATGCTGGCAACTTTGTCATCCATTCAAAATTGATGAGGACTCTACCTATTCTGCTCATTACTCTGCTCCACCTGGTTGTTGGTTGCTCCAAGTATAAAAGGCTCTTGAAGATCTCATATCTTGCATAGAGCATTCCTCCATGCATTTTTTAAAATCTTTGATTTCTGCTATAGTAACCCTGATTCCCATTCTTTCTTCAGTGCTCAAAATGCAGTTGAAGTCCCCCATTATTGCCCAAGGCCCTCTGTTCTGTAGGTGTATACTTTTAATATCCTCCCACAGTTGCCTTCTCATACTTTGGTTGTTAAACCCATACACTACTGTAACATTGAATTTGTTCCCTGTCCCTCTATGATCGACCATATAGTGAATAAGTTGTTCAGTTATATTTGTTATATTGACATCATATACTCCTGGTTTCCATACAATCCAAATCCTTCCTGCTGGATGTTTTACTAAGTTTATAGTAAAAGACCACCCCCTACATAGATTAAGAGCAGCTTGTTGTGCTTTAACTCTCTTAATCTTAGTTTTCAGAAGACCAAATAGACTAACTTTTTGATTGTTCATAAACAAATTCATTTCATTCTGTTTATGTAGCTTATTCAATCCCTTGGTGTTTCAGAAACCTATTCTATCCATTGGATGAGGGGTTGCCCCAATCCTGCCCATTTCCAAGGGCCATCTCACTCCCTTTCCCCTTTTTTGTCTTGTTCTCCATCACCTTCCCATTTTCCTCTTCTATTTTCTCCTGTTGATGGTCCCCTAATGTTGCAAAAGAATTCCCAGTTCTTATACCTTCATGTTGCTTTCTTTCCCCTGCTTTCCCTCTTACTACAGTCTTCTACTTTCTGGATGTAGTTGCCACTTCATTTGCAATGGGTACTACCTCAGTCCCCTTATTACCTTTGCTTATTGGCCCACTCTCTTGCTATATTTGTTCTTGTTCCCCTTTCTTCTTCACATTGACAGCCTTCTTTTCCACTTGAGTCTTCTCCTGTACTGTATTTGGCTCTTGTAGTTCCTACTTGTTTGTTTTCTTCTCTTTCTCTTCTTTGATAAACCTCCTGCATTCATTCATTTCATGCCCAAAGTTCTTGCACTTTCCACATAGAGTAGGTTTCCATTCATAGAAAACCTCCCGCTCCACTATTCTGCCCTTCTCATCCTCAAACATTATTGTATCTGGATATTTGTGATAAGGCTTAACCTCAACCAGAACTCTGGCATATGTCAACCTCCCTTTTTGTGTTGTAGCTCGATCTGCCTTTAATGGTTTAGTGGGTTTTGTCTTTTTATATAACAATGTGCATCAAACATAATTGTTACTATTCCATCTGGAACATTCCCATAAAGCAAACATTTCAATGAATCTAGTTTGGAATTCCAAAGGAGCATTAAGAGCAGTGGAAAAGACATAGCAATATTATCAAGCAATTAATATTCATTATGGGAGTGCTCGATCTGTTTATTGTAGTAGTTTCAAATAGGTGATGATTCTCAAGAGCAGAATAAGGACAAGAAATTGAAGAGACAAAACGCCCTTATCATGATTTAGGCTATTTATTATGAGTCTGTTTACCTTTTTATACATTTATGTTTATATTGGAAGAATAGTTATACTACTAAAGAGTATAAAAAGAAATTATTATTTATTTACTAAGGGTATTAAAGTCCAATAATTTTTTGTGGATATTTTAGTAATTTAACTTTTAACTTGGGGGCTTCCCACTTTTAGTATAAAATATGATATGATATGATGATTATGGTGAATGATTCCTAGGTTGCAGGTAGTGGCGAAATCAGAAATTCGAATAAGGGGATTAGAGAAACAATACACTAAAAGTTTTCTTAATATAAAGGGCATTGTTAAGAATACACTAAAGCAATATAATTTTCCAACTCACTTGAATCCATTAACCATACATAGCTCTGCTACTGCTTGTAGTTGTCTGGTGAATATTTGACGAAGCTTAGAGGAAAAATGGGTAATCCTGTGTTACTGGCGTGAGTCAATTGATTTTGTACTCTATCACATTATTTTTAGTTTTATTTATGTCAAATCTTTTAAGAGATTTTTATTTTTTTACATATAAGAGATCAAAGAATAAAATACAAGAGTGTTTGGAGGATCCAATAAAATACTCAAGGTGGCACTTGTTGATCCAGACACCACCGTCACAATAAAATGGCTAAAATTTGTTAGGGAGAAAATAGTTAAGAGAGTGAGTAATTGAAAGAGTCAACTATTTCTCAAAGGTTGCTGGTATTTGAATTCAATTCCCCAAGATTTTGTAGATATAATCACACTTGCTCTTAGTTAATGTATTTTCAGTTTGATTAGAGAAGTGATATACAGAATATCGACTTTTTATAGCTATGTAGTACAAATGTACAATCGATTATATTATACTCATTCTTTTTTGTATAATTTGAAATAGTTATCGTATTCTAGACTAGACGTTTTAAAAATATGTTTTAATTTTTGGGAAATTAGTTTTTTATTTATTATTTTATTTTTATAATGATATGTTGATGCAAAGTATGGATGTTCTGGAGTGCCATGTATAGTTCTATTGGACGACTAGATGATCTAACTTTGTCTGCGCTGAGGCAAAAAACGCTATTTATCTTATAAATATGTACATAAAATTTGGAGCATTTAAAAAAACATTAACAGAAGGCTATACTCAAAATCATATACAATTAAGTTATGAATTGACATTTCTTTCATAGAATTGGCTAATCAGTGGAGCACCTTAAGGTCATCACCTATTTTTGCAGAAAATTTAAAAAAAAATAGAATTCCCTAAATTAAGGAACGAAAGAAAATTATTGCAAGAAAGAGCATGTAGGTAAATGAACCTACACATTATTGGACGGATTTGAATAGATACAATGACGGCATAAAGAATTTTTACAATATTAATGCAATTTAACTTATTAAAGAAGGTTATTGTTCTATTATCAAGGTTACTGTATTCAGCTTGCTATAAAGAGTTACATGTTGTAGCAGATTTTTACTGTTGTAATAATTTAGAGGAAACAATTTTTTTTAAAAAAACTTAACACTTACTTATGAAATGTGTAGTTTGGATTACAAAAAGTATTTTTCATTTAAACAAAAAATGATTGCATAATAGGGAAAGATCAAAGCAACTGTACCAATGACATTTTCATTTGATATTTCAATTCCTCAATCTGATCAATATGTTTCTTCTTCTTCATCGTCTTCCTCTTCCTCTTGCTCGTTAGGCTTGAACACGGACCCCTGTTAAATAAGGAACTTTTTAATCAAAAATTTCAATATCTCGAGCTGATTTAAGTAAGAAAATAATGAAGAATGTTTCCCTTACTTCAGTACCACATACTTGCAACTTCTTTAGATTGCTTATAAGAATTACATCTTTGTCTTAATTTTCTTATCATATTTGATTTTTCTATCTCTTGAAGGAAAGAGCAACATATTTACCATAATTGAATTTTCATTCTTTTAGAAGGAATCAAACATTTATCATAAATGTTGAATATTTGTGTCTATTTTGGTATATTTCTCTTTTGTTGTCTGATTTATCGTCGTTCAGATTTTGCTTAACTAGCTTCCGGATGACACTTGATTATTTCGATCCTTTTCATAACCAAACTTTTCTCTATCAAAATGAGTGATCATAATGAATTGATATTCAATTTGAGCATTTCAAGATTGGGGAAATTTATCAAGCACGTCAGGTCACATATAAACGTTTCCCCTAGTATGCACTTATTAAGGAGATCCAACTAACTAGTGATTGGTTAATGAGGTTCCTACCCTAATTTGGACAGAAAACAAAATTGATCTCTACAACGATTTCTATATATATATGGTAATTTAAATGGAGTAATGGTTAAAAGTAAATGAATGATATAAGAATTAAATTTAAGGAAGAAGATGTCTTACTATATTGACCACAAGGGAGGAACTACCATAGTTGTCTAGCATGTCCTGTTGAATTTGCTTGGCAGAATTCCCAACAGATTCTGCACAACTCCATACAACAATATGAGCGAGTGTGGTTATATCTGCAAAATCTCGAGGGATTGAATCCAATGAATAACAACCTCCAATAACTAATCGTTCAAGGCAGGGAAAGTGATGACAACTAGCTCTCCAGTACTGAAAATCCACTTCTTCAAGGTACAAGAACTTCAACCGAGGAAAACCGTGGTCCGCTACTTCCCACTCTTTGTCTTTACAGGCATCACCTATTAATTTAAGTACCTCGAGTTTGGGTAATTTACCAACAATGCTCAAGTCCTTCCACCACAAACAAGTCTTATAAAGAGTTAATGTCTTCAGATTTTGTGGAAAAGCATCCGGAGGAGGTAGGAGCAAAGGTGGAACAGCATCTGGAGCAGGTGGAACAGCATGTGTAGGAGTTGGACCTGGTATTTTCAGAAACCTCAGAGGATCTTGTGGAGTAGCACCTGAAGGTGTAATGCTTTCTAGAAAGCAGGAATGATAATTTAGATGAGACATATAAAATTCCAATTCCTCGAGTTGATCTAAGCAGCGAAAATCATAGAGGTCCTTGCGACTACGAAAGTCTTCTTCAACACCCCATATTTGCAACTTCTTTAAATTGGGAAATAGTCTGAAGAAAGATCCAGTACAATACCAAGGATTCCAATGTGAGAGACGTTTCAAATTTTTCAGAACCAAGCTGTTCTCTGTAAGCTCATGATAATGTAAGTAATTCCAGCCCAAACGGAGGTGCCTCAGTTGTGGCATAGTCAAAATTTCGGATGGTACTATTAGAGGATGTCGTGGGGCCTCGTCATGTGGCTGACCAAGAAAAAAAGTTTCCAAATAACATAGTCTAGATATGGAAGAAGGAATATCTATTGATGAGGGAGTCTCTTTTCCTAGATAGTAATGCACGGTAGGAGAAAGACGCAAAGCTAGGTATCTCAAGTGAATTAGATCAAGTATCCCACTGGGAAAAACAATAAAGTTCATTAAAGCAAGATCTAGTACTCTTACTAGCTTGAAAGGCAACAACTCTGACATGAACCCTGACATACTATTGAAAAAGAAAATGGAACGAGCCTCATTATTAGGACATCTAGCCAATTTATTCACAATAATACGGTAGTTCAATTGGGTACTGGTCCGACCTCGACTATTTGAAGAAAAATGCATGGATAGTGCACATGGATTTTCATCATTCTTTTCTCCAATAAAAGTCACAATATTCATGTTTCGAGCTTCCTTCAAGCAGAGTTCACGGATCACATCATGTATTCTACAAAACTTGACACGTCCATCACCTGTCACATAGTGGATGGAAATTAAACTTCTATCTATTAGATCCTTTAGACATTTTTCTGCCACTTCTTCTATGCTTTTCATCTCCTCTAACTTCAAAAATCCCTCCGCTGCCCATAAATCCAAGAGTTCATCGACATAAATCTCAGCATCCTCCGGGAAGATTGCAAAATACAGAAAACATGCTTTTAGGTGATGTAGCAAGTGATGGTAACTCAAAGCAAGCACTCTCATGCATTGGACGTCAACATCAGTGCTTACCATTGAACTTACTTTCTCGGCAACACTTTGCCACTCATCCAATGCTTTACCAATTTTGGAGAGAAGTCCAGCAATCACAGTAATTGCTAGAGGTAATCCTCCGCATTTTGATGCAATTTCTTTTCCAATTTTTTCAAATTCAAGAGAGAAACAATCTTTCTCAAAGACCTTTTTGTGCAGTAAATCCCAACTTTCATTAAAATCTAAAAGGCGCATCTGACAAGGAGGATTACCTGAGCTAGCATATTTAGCTACTTCCACATTCCGAGTGGTTAAGAGTATTCGGCTTCCATTGGTGTATTCCGGGAAACATAACTTTATATCATCCCAAGCTTCTGAAGTCCATATGTCATCAATGAGGATAAAGTATCTCCTGCCTTTTAGAAGCTTTTGCAGTTGGTCTGCTAGTTGGCCATCATCTTGCTCGAAATATTCATTAGTCCTTCCACTTATAGGAGAAAGAAGTCCTAGTAGTACATTTCTCTTGCAATACTCTTGTGAAATAGTAACTTTTGCACGAATATCAAAGCGAGACATAATGAATGGATCAGAGTAAAGCTTGTTAGCTAAAGTTGTCTTACCGATGCCACCCATCCCTGTAATGGAGACAACTTCTAGTTCACTTGATCCTCTTGCAAGTCGATCCTGCATCATCTCGAACTCACTTTCATGGCCAACCATAATATTCTCGGGCTCTACAGCACGTTCAGGTATACTGGCTAGAGAAAACTTTTGTGCTTTCAAACCTTTGATGTTAGTGTACCAGTCCCGTATCGCCATCCACTGCTTCATGATGGAATCAATGCGTTCTACCGCTTTTTCCAAGCAACAACAGAGTTTCCATAAAGCGTTGCTCCGTAAAGTTGTTGTTTTTGAATAAAGAACTTTTATTGATCTCGAGTCAACCTTAACTTCTGCGCTGAATGCTACCTCTACGATTTCAGCTTCCAAGCTTGTCAGTGCTTCAATATCCTCTGTTGTTATATTACAGGGTTTCTCCATAATAGATCTCAAGGATTGAAGCTTCTCATAGAACGATTGCAAATTACGTCCAGTAAGTTGCATTGATTGTTGTATGGTGTTCATAAGAGAAGTAATAGCAGCATAAGCCATAATTAAGTGTGATAAAAATAGGAATGTTTCAGCACAGAGAAGAAGCAGAATATATCTCAATGTGTATGTGATGCAATTGGGAGTTTGTGCATAAAGAAAAAGGCAGAACCTCTTTTGTTTTAATTTCAACAAGTTGGTAATTTCTCAATTTAAAACAGAAAGTGGAAAGGACTATGTTTCGTTTATTTCTACATATTTCCAGCTTGGTCCACTCTCTTGTCTCTATCAACCAGCTGGAAGTTGATCCAGATCCAGCTCTGAATAGTCCCAAAAAATATATAGTATTTAATCTGAAAAGAAGTAAAGTCCGTATTAACAAACAAAATTAAAGCCATCTTCTTTGACTGCTTCTCAAAGTGAGCAGTTGATTTTTGTACATGTAGACACTATTGAATTAAAATTTGGGGCAGAGGCGGAGTTAGGATTTGAACCTTACGAGTTCGGGTTATAATTCTTTTAAGTTATTGAGTTCTAAATTAATAATTTATACATATTCATTGAATTTCTTCGTACAAATACAGAGTTGGGCAAAAATTACTGGGTGCAGCCGAACCCGCAATATGTGGCTCTGGCCTGGGGGCGTAGACTTCCATTCTGCCAAAAGTTACAATATTATCCTATTTTCTGCTCAGCTCCTGCGCGCGCTGGCCAAGAACTCAGCACAAAGGCTTGAGGTGGATATATGTGGTAATTCTTGTATTATCCTAATTTTTTTAACGCGGAATTATGGTAGTAATAAAGCGTTGACATGATGCGTGATGTTGTCACCAAGAGTATATATAACTACCTTGTCCTCAATTAAGTCGAGTGATCTGACTAAGCCTCATTTTTTTTTAATAATTAAAATGTATAAATTGATATACACTTATAAATATTAAGATGTGTATTACCAAATCTGAATACTAAATAATTATGCGTCTATATGAAACTTGTCTTTATTTAAAAATTAAATATAAAATTAACCTAAAATACTATTTAATCTAATACTACATCAATAAAAAAAAATTAAGAAATAATATGATAATTGGTGGTGGTTGTGGTTGTGGGTGTCGACTGAGGTGGTGGTTGGTGGTGGATAGTCGCTAGCAATAAAGATCAATAATGGTAGTTGATGTTGGTCATTGGTGGTGGCAACTAATAATTACGGTGAATGATAGTAATAGCTAATGGTTGTAGTGGCTGATAGTTATGGTTGGCGATATATAATGATGGCTGATGTGGTGACTGTGGTCGTGTGATAACGGTGATTGGTGATGATGAATTGTAACATGTGGCAACATGTGGCTAGTGTTGGTGATTGTTACAACAACAACAACAATCCAGTATAATCCCACTTAGTGGGGTCTGGGGAGGGTAGTGTGTACGCAGACCTTACTCCTACCCTGGGGTAGAGAGGCTGTTTCCAAATAGACCCTCGGCATCCTTCCCTCCAAGAACTTCCCACCTTGCTCTTGGGTAGACTCGAACTCACAACCTCTTGGTTGGAAGTGGAGGTTGCTTACCATCAGAACAACCCCTACCTTGCTCTTGTTGATTGCGGTAATTTGGCAGTGGTGTTTGTGGATGGTGGGTAACTTTGAAAGAGCAAATAGCATAGGACAGTCACAAGTTCTTACACACTAAATAGCACAGGACAGGCAAAATACATAAAATGATACCTGACCTTATAGTTAAATCCCTCTTACACATCTGTTGACCATAGAAATAATTACTTGAAAGGACTAACTGATACATACCTCAACAGAACTTCCATAGGTGTCTTCAATTTCCTGAATCTTCTTCGCAGAGTTCCCAATAGATTTTAAGGTTCTTCGAAAAAGTATATAGAGGAGGAAGAACTAAAGACGTAGGATACAATGGCCTTCCATTAGTCATAAATTTTTGTGGCACGATCCTGAAATGCCAAAAAATGAAATCAAAAGTTATGACGAAGCATTAGAATATTGGTTAGTAGAAATTTCCTATTGACCTATTATATTTTTGTCCAATCGGAGTCCTTCAACCAAATTCTAGAAAATCAGCATGTGCTAATTCTCAAGAAAAAATGGATTTATCATAAATTCATGTTACACGACCCTGAAATGCCAAAAAATGAACTCGAAAGTCATGGCGAAGCGATGATTATTGGTTATCAGGTCATTTCCTGTGGACCTACCTTGCTTTTCTTTTGCCCCTCTTTAAAGTAAAGTTGCTTCTTAGAGTTGGTTTTTGCAATTACAATCTGTCTCTGTCTGGCTCCTCTCTTTGAACTCAAATAAGACATTCTTTTGGTCGAGTGACTTCATTCCTGGTCTTCCTATTCCCTTCGCTTTCCCAGCAGGTCCACAAATTTCAGTCCAATCGGAATCTGTCAACCAAATTCTAGAAAATCAACATACATTAATACGAATGAAAAAATAGATATAATTATAAATTCGTATTGCACAACCTAGAAATGCTAAAAAAATGAATATGAAATTCATGGTGAATGGATGATTATTGGTCATTAGGTCATTTCCTATGAACCTATCAAATTTCAGTCCAATCGGAGTCCGTCAACCACATTTTAGAAAATCAACGTATATTAATACGCACGAAAAATGGATATAATTATAAATTCATGTTGCACGACCCAAAAACGTAAAATGAAATCCATGGGAAGCAATAGTATTAGTCACTAGGTCGTTCTCTGTGGACCTACAAAATTTCAGGTCAATGATAGTCCATCAATCAAATTCTAAAAAATCACATGTACTAATACACAAAAAAAATGGATACAACCATACATTTTTTTACTGGATCATATTTATTGCATTTAAGCAGAACGATGATTGATAAAATTTTGATATTTAGAAATTACATAGGAAATGCCGGAAACCAAGTGGGAACTCTTACTTTCTATACTTGCTTGAATCCGAAAAACTAACAAGTTTTGTGCGGTAATTAAATTATATCTAAAGACTCAATTAAGACGAGTGATCTGACTATAGACCGTTTGAATATGTACACACATATGTAAGTTATTGTGGTTAAGTGCTATCACATTCAGTTGTTATTTCTGCCAAGTAAGTGGTAGCCAGCACACTCCTTTTTTGACTTTACGTTTCAAGTTTCTTGGAAGGTCGCCAATATCATTGGATCCTAAAAATAGTTAGGAAGAAAAATAATAACTGATATTTATGGCAAATCAATCAAAGTTTGAGACTATGAAGGACTCTTTGGATACGACTTGACTCATTTACTACTACTTGAACTCTTATTTGGTGGGTCGATAACTTTTAAAAAATATTTTTATTTTAAAATTTCAGTTTCTAAAACTTTATTTTTTAATTATAATTATTTTTATAATAATGTAAGTGAAAATATTATTCGTAATTCAAAACTCATTTTAGTTGGCTATCTAAAAAAATTTATAAAAAAAAATTAGCTAGTGAATCTTTTTTCCCAGTATGACTCCATTTGATATTTAACATTAACCATGTTAAATATCTGAGTTATTTGAATTATATGTAAATAACCTAAAAATTTAAACCTTCTAGATAATTATAGATAATTGTTAGATATTAATTAAGAAACACTACATGAAAAAAAACTAATATTTTCTCAAATCTCGTAGGGATAATTTTATTTTTGCACCATTCTCATTGGTGTCATTGGAACCTAAAAATAGCTACAAAGCGAAATAGTAACTCGTATTTTTGGCAAAGCACAAAGGTTGATACACTTGCTAAGTTGAACCCGGCGAGGAGTTTTGTTGTCGGAATGATGCTTCTGGTTAGCTTGGCTTGCTCCAGCACTCTCCATTGAATGATGTTGGCTGAACTTCCTGGGTCCACCAAAACATGTTTAATTTTAAAGTCTAGAACGTTAAGAGAAATTACTAGGGAATCGTTGTGCGGCAGTAGAAGTCCATCGGCGTCCTCTTCTGTGAAGGTGATGCCATCCTCGGCAACTTCCCGGAGTCTCTTGCTATGAGTCACCGATATCTTTGTCTTTTTGCTGTCGAAAAAGTTACACAGTTGGTCTCGTTTCTCCCAAAAATCATGTTGATGGTTAGTCGGGGAGGGAGACCTGTCTTCGAGGGCTTCGTGTTGTCCCGACTGCAGCCGTAATTGTTCTTAGCCCGGTCGCTTAAGAACACTCTGAGATGGCCTTTTTTCAACAATGTTGCTACCTCCTCGCACAAATGTTGGCAGTCCCTAGTCCAGTGACCGTTAGTCCCATGATACTCGCAACATAGATTAGGATCCCTCTGGCTGGGATCAAATCTCATTGGCCTCTGGAATTACGCTTCCTTGATGTTCCTCATCACCAATACTAGCTCCACTACGCTGATATTAAAATTGTACTCAAAACAATCTGGGATAGGTGGAATCTCGGGTACGTAATAACTCTTTGTTTTGCAGTGGCCTGTTATTCCGGCCACGACGAGTTATTCTATCGGGAGCTAACATATCCGCCATTCGGAACCCTTTGATGCCGACCCTTTTGTAGGGCAAAAAACAGCCCTTAGAAGATCGCCGATCTGCACCAAAATCATCCTTCGATTTATCCTTATTATTTTCTCGATCCCGAACTTTAGTTGATGCCGGGAACCCAAGCTAATCATCTTTTATTCTTATCTTTGATTCATAACGGTTATGGACAACTGCCCATATAGTTTCCTCGAACTCGAGCAGGCTTTCTTTCAGTTTTTGGGAGGCATCGGAGCTCTTTGGGTACAACCCGTTAGTAAATGTCTCAGCTGCCCATTCATCTGCACGGCCGGTAGCAGCATCCTTTCTTTCTGAAACCTGATCACGAACGCTTCAATTTAGACTCTCCTTGCGAAATTCTGGATATGTCCGTGTTCCGGGCCTAGAACTTCTTGGCCCCGGCATGGGCCTTGATGAAAGAATCTGCGAGCATCTCAAAGAAACCTACTGAGTGTTCACGTACGAGGGAGTACCATGTCAAGGCTCCCTTCGTGAGGGTTTCTCCGAACTTCTTCAGCAAGACCGACTCTATCTCATGTTGAGCCAAGTCGTTTCCTTTCACTGTCATTGTATAAGTGGTGATGTACTCCTGAGGGTCCGAAGTCCCATCATATTTCGGTATGTTTGGAATTTTGAACATTCTTACATACCTGTTGACCACGGGAATAATTGT